GGGGGGGGGGGTGAATGTGTGAATGTGTGATTTGTGTAGAAAATATTACTCGGGATTGACTTAATGTCCTCGTCACTTTTATCAATCGCTCCTTCCAAATCCGGATTGATTGCTTTCATTCGCGGACTTTTCGAATGAACTAGTTTCTTCAGTTTCTCTGATTCCATGCTAGGAATATCTATGTCCAGTTCGAATCGAGCTACGGAGAGTCGATATCTGTGATTACTCCATAGTATTTTATTCGTTTAAGATTTTTTTAATCCGAATCTTAATGATACAGTGAGATGATCCAATTCGGATCGGATATCATCTGTGAGTAAAAGATATTTGTCTATATTACAATTGAACCTAATTGGTATTTCAGTTATAAAAATATTGTAAATTTATTGTTGCACATAAGTGGCCCGCCCTGGCACCACTACTGTTGAGATGGGAGGATGATGAAAAAAAATGCATATCTCGAAATATAATTGCAATATCGACTTTTACAACTTTTTAACTTTTATTGATCTCAATCCAAAGATGCTAAGTCGATTGTCAAATCTTGGCGCCTCGAAAATGGTACTCTTGCCAGGAAAGATCATTCTCAGATCATTTTTGGATCCATGAAGTAGACTGAAGTTATTCTTTGTACATTTGAGCGCGATCTGCGGTAAAACATATAAATAAATTTAAGTACGGGTCAGTCTCCTACCTTTGTCAACCTGTGCGGGATTTTATATGGATCATGTAAAATGATCAATCAGTGATCCGTCCTGTATCTAAAATGTTCAGGCCAGACTTACTTAAAGCTAACCGTATTCAGAAATATTGTACTGATGCATGATTTGAACCTGATATGACATCAGGCAACCTGATCTAATTTTTGTTAGAGCTGGACACAGAATACTAAAATATCCTTCAGTAAAATTTAATCTCTGTCCACATATTGTACATAAAACATCCTTATACGTTGATTTATACACTGAATCAATAATTTTGATAACCCGCTATTCGTAGTTGCCCATGTTTAGTTATAAACATTATTTTACAGAAACTTGAATTCAGACATTAATTACTTTTATATATGAATCACCCTAAATATACATATAAATATACATATACTTAATAAGCCCAATATATCATATATAGGATAGTGCATGTGGTACGACGAGCAACACTCAAGTAATTATGAAGTTAGAAATGTAAAAAAGAGTTAAAAGTTTAAGGCTGTTACTCTCTTTGTTTATCCCTTCTTTTTAATAATTTCTCATACACATCAATCTCAATTGATCTATTTTCATTTATATTCCTTATTATTTTTTGTCTCTTCTTAGATTTATTCTACTGGACGTCATAGAAGTGTAAGTTGTGTAAGAGTGCAACGACCTTAAAAAGACTGGATACACACATTAAAGACAGATTGAATAACTATGCAAGAGCATGCATAGATATGAAACAGGCTTAATGCCATAGTACATGAAAAGGTGTACAAAGAAAATTAATATTTAAAGAAGAAATGTGAGGATTAGATATTACGAGATGCGTTGACAAGAAATCTTCGCAACTTAGGAATATTTCAACTAGCTATTGGTGCACACTTTGAATGTCATATAAATACGATTGAATGTAAGCGAATTGGCCAATTTAAACTATATGTATATAAAATGAATGAAATTAGCATACTTAGGCTGGGATGGTTTGATCCCGTGAACTTCCAAGTCCTTCTCCAGCTGACGTATTCTAATCCTCGCCATGTCCAACTCGTGTTTTACTTTCCAAAGATGTGTATCGCAAATAGGATCCCTGCATCTATGTTGCCTGAGAATGTCTTGCGCCTCGTAAACAGCTCCACGGAACGTCAAAGATTTTCCCATGCTCTAAAAAGTAAATGTTTGTTTGTAATTAAATTGTATGGACTTGGTGTTTTGCGATAAGAAGGTAAAAAGTTTTTTGTATAATTAATCAAAAATATATATGAGTCATTTTGTATCGCTCTATTCAAACTTTGATAATATGGTAGTGAATATTATATGACAATATATTAGGGTATGCTGTTTATTTGAAAACAATATATCTCTGTGGTATCGGATTTCTCTATAGGTTTGAAGAGGATACAGTTTGAAGAGAGAAGAAAATATTTTTGTCAACAATTCTTAATATTAGAGATAATTAAGTGTTCAGTTTAAAATGGACACTCTGAATAAATTTCGGTACTTAATGGCAACCATGAAATCGTTGTAACTTTTGTGTTAAAAGTTACAAAGGAAATAATACAAAATTATATGCAGGTTCATTATATTATGACTCTGTAAATAAAATCAGATCTTACATACACTGAAAAGAAAAATTACCTAAACTTATGAAATATTAATCGGGACGAACAAATTATATTTATTCGAATAGTCGCCATAAAATATTTTTCCGATAAAATTTAATAATTCTTTAGTGCATTAGCATAAAGCAAAATAATTTCGAACACGTTTTCAGAATGCAAGTTATACTTAAACAATATATATTATAGGATCCACAAGAAAACTTTGGAAGTGGACCAAGGACTCAAACCCTGATGGTGTTTCGGAAATGATTAGAGCAGATACTTGATTGAGTTAAAAGATATCATTTTGATTTAAATATAAAGTGTTTGAATCATTCTCAAAGAAGTATATTTATTTAGGGTCCACTTTTTTAGTGTAATTAAATACGAAATAATCAGAATCTGGATCTGGTCTCTATTACATAGCCACTCTTAGAAACAGCTATCTGGTGTATGGTCATGATAAGGTTTACGGGATAATGAAAAGAACTTTATAAAAGATACAATGAATTATTAGGACGGTAGTTTCGGATCAGTAGATATAGCACGTGCAGTAATATTGAAATTTACAATTAATATATATATGTTACCGTGAAAGACCGAAATCTGGAGAATGTCATCATTCACCGGTGAATGTCAACATTCACATAGTCGCTTGGTGTATGTCCGAATTATTTGCTAAATACCCTTATTTTTTACTTACACCGGTAAATGTCGACATTCATCATGCACTAATGGTGAATGTTGAACATGTCGGAGATATATACTGTAACGTGGCGTCCGTGGGACGGCCAGTTACATAAAAGCGTAGGCGTACGGAGAGCCGTCCCGCCGACGAAAGCCGCCGAGAGAATGCCAACGACGCTGAAGGTTCGAGGCGAGAGGAAGCCGGGGAGGAAAACCGGCAGCGCCGAGCCCGACGATCGGGCGCGCTCGGGTAAGATCGGCGCCGCCCAGAGACTGGCGGGCTGTGAGCGCCGAAAAACGGATAGCGGACCGAGGCGAGAGATAACGCACGAGTTCAGGTGAACTCGGGATTCTTCGGGAATCCTCGGGCCGGGGGGGCCAAAAGGGGCCCACTTCGTTTTGAACCATGAGCCGAGTGTGAGCGAGTTTTTGACAGTAGTGTGCGATTGTAGTTTTGGTTTTTGGTGAGATAGTGGTTTGGAAAGATAGTGAAATAGACGATTTGGCAATTCCCACGGACTTCGATTTTGGATTTTGGACTGCGAGAAGCCGCGAGAAAGCGAGCCCGAGAGAGCGATCCGGAGAGAACGTGAGCGAAAGGACGAGGGAAACAGCCAGGGACCACCAGAGAGGAATCCGAGTGCACCGGAAGTTCTGGTAAGTCCCATCCGATTACCAATTTCGAGCGAAGCCGCGCGCCGGCCGGAGATTGCAGCCGCCCGTGAGGAAAGAAAAACCGACTGCCGCGATCGCGTCTGTTGATAGGATTGTATCGAGTCGCGCTCGTAAGACCACCCGACTGTAATCGTTTACCTAGAACGAAATAAATGTAGATTGTTGAAAGCAAATCCCACCATGTCGATTATTTCGGAAAGAAGCCGACCGATTCCTGTGTAAACTCGACGCCCTCACGTTCCCCTCTACCAGCGCGAAGGAGAGCTAGCTGGAAGATCCGGTCGAGAAGACTCCCGGAAGTGACGCGTTGCGGATGAAAAATTAAAGGCCCGACGAGTCGGGCTGGTGCAAGGATGCACCTGGCGCCCAAGGGATCCGCGGAATGCCACGTTGGGGTCGCGGATAGGACGTAGGCCAGGAAATGCGTTACAATACATATTTTTTTCTCCGACTGAATTCAGTCGCTATAAAACGTCACAAGGGTGATATAACTTTGTCGCCTCTCTTTCTGAGAGGAGTGACCAAGAATAATTTCTCTTCATCATTAATTTTTAAAACGTCAAAACGTTTTAATCGTATGTAATCCAAAGGTGTGTTGCACTTAGTTTTAGCAGAAACCACTTCAGAAAGTATTTTAGAGTACTTTTCTTGAGAAAAATAAAAACAATTGTCGTCTCGTTTACCCGCAATTAATGTATTTAACTTTACAAGAAAAAGATCACGATTTACTGCAGTATCCATTTAGTATAAATTACGGTATCGCAAAAAAAAATTAAGAAAACGTTGCTCGCATCATCAAAGCTTGCAGAAGACTAACAAAGCTAACTAACTCCCAGCAGAACAAAGGATTTGGCAGGAGAGAGCCAATCGCCTCTTTGTCGGCTCCTCTCTTTCGGACCTCCACCAGAGCATATCTGTGATTGTCGACATACACCGGTGAGGGTCCGAATGTACAAAAATGTAATGAAATATTTAATCTTTCACCGACGTATTTGGCATGTGTTGACATTCATCGGTGAAAGTCGACATTCTCCATTTTCGGTCTTTCACGGTAACATATATACACCACCCAACTAAAGACTGGTCGTAAAGAATAAGCATCAGTGACAGTGGCCTATGCAGATTAGAACTAATCATGACGTTGCGGGTGACTACTAGCGCTCGCCGTGACAAAAACCCAAGTTATAGGCGAAGAAAAGTTCCTTGGTGACAGCTCAACATGTTCGCACCGAAAAATCTCGAAATTGGCTATACGGTAGGAATTTCGCGTGACATGGTGTAAAGTGCATAAATTATTGTATATAAAACTAAAATAACGACACATAACACATCTTTTCGTTTCATACATCATCAGGTGGAACGCGAACACAAATATCAAAGAAAATAAGATTAAATTAAGATGCAATACAACGAACCATATAAAAGCATCTCGTGTATTCATGAGCGTATAAAAAATTAACTTCTTTGACGTAGTTTTCAAACTAGCAATGGTAGACATTTACAACTGTTACTGTGCTATCTGCATCTTCATTTTTCTTATAATGTGTGCTCCAATTATCCGGTATATCGAAATCCATTTTCTTCAAAGCATTCTAATTTTGAAATTCTCTTTCTCTATTCTCTATCTCCACGGATACGCGCCAATCTGACGCGATCGTAAGGTAAGCATTAATACTAGTAAATTGGCTTCACTCATGAAAGCATTACTGCAGTAATAATTATAAATGTGATAAAAGATTTAGTTCTGCAAGAAAGTAAACGTCAAAAGTGAACATAAACAATGTAGCGGCGATAGGTACTTCGATCCCAATATCTCAAATCTGAAGTGGGTGACACGGCGTCACTGTTTATGTCCTACGTATTTACGTTAGAAACCACTGATGCACAAAAGATATAATAAATGTTAAATATTACAAATTTTATATAAATATATATCTCATAGTTTCATTTATAAGTTAATAGTGTATAATTACGTTGTTTTTTAAGTTGCTTTCTTAAGAAAACGTCTGATTTCATTCTATGTCAAATGGACGCGTGTCTGTAGAGATAGATATACATGAAATTTGTATAAACCTAGTGTTGAAAGCACTGGCTACATTAACAGAAAATAGTAAAATAAATCGTGTTATGGTATGAGTTCCTTGGATACTTTGAGGAAATCAAATTGGACACTTTCAATTCATATTTCAAGAAAACCACTCTTTTAATATGAAGATAGAAGTAGTGTAGACGATCGGCAAGCAATTCAACGACTCTGGTGCTCACTGTATCCTCAATGCTTCGAGTAAAGATTCTCGGCGAGCCGTGTCCTGTACGGCGGGTTGCCTGTACTTGGCGCGAGACTCGACCGAATCTCTTGATTCTAAAGAATGTCCAAGCTAGCCCTGACATTCAACACACATAGACAGTAAAACTAATATAAATATTGCCAAGATAATCGAAGAAAAATCGGAAAATGCATCTTCTCAACCTTTGGAGTTTATACAGGGTGTAAACGAAAGATACGACCAACAATTAATGGGATGTTCGGCATCGCGAGCCGAGCAAAATGATTTTTTTTAAATCTTCATACGACCAAAATTAACCGAGATATCGAGGGTTAAAGTTTTCTTATCTCAACAATGTGAAATGCACTGAAGAGGCGATGGATTTACTGTGCATTGTCTTATACGCACAGGTAACATCGACAAATGACAAGCGACGGAGAAAGTGCTTGGATGTGCTCGACTAGAAGTTAGCTGCAAGCCAGAGAGAAGAACAAAGCAATCGTTTACATGAAAAAGTTTTGATCAGCTGTTACGATGACATTCTGATCGTGCGTTCATGTGCATCCGCGCTTCGAATTTTATTTTCGGCAAACAGAACCAAGGGAATTTCTTATGAAATTTTATTTAATTGCTGAAATTAACAGAAATCGCCTACATGCATTCATTCATTCGACTACATACGTAAACTAATTGGAACGAAGATTCCAGCAAAAAAGCTAAAGTGGATAAAGAGCTAATCTCTAGTTCTTCTGCCATTCAAGATTAACTGAAGGGGGTACAGGACTAATGGAAATAAAAAATAATTTAGTTTCTGAGCAATCGAACCTGACGAAAAAGTTGTCTGGTTACTTTTTTTTTGCGGATGCAGAAATCTTGAAGTTATTGCAGATGCAATCTGCCAGGAGCCGGTGCGAATGCTTTCGAATTGTTTGAA